GCTGCTGCTGTTCCACGGCCGCTCCAGCCTGGGCTGGTTCTGCTGGGACCAGGGCGCGCGGGAAGGACCCGTCAGTTGAGGAAGGTGAGTTTAATTAAGCCTGGGAAGTGACTCAGGGAAAACTGTCCAGAGATGAGCGCGTGACATACAGATCTAGAGGTTTTTAATGTACCAGGGGATCAGAGTTACAGCGTGAGGCCTGGGAGGGAGGAGAGTTGGGTGGAAGAACAGCAGCGCAGGACTCTGGTTTGGGTGCCACAAGAAACTGGTGCCAGAAAGATGCAGCTTCCCCCTGACTGAAGGACGGAGCAGGTGAGGCGCCCTCCGTGCCCGACACAGCGAGGAGGAGCGGTAACAGCCTGGCTGGATCCAGTCCCTCCCTGCAGCTTGCACCGAACAGTAGGACCAGCCACCCCCGGAGCAACCCGGGCCTCGTGGCAGTCCCCCACTGCCCTTTCCCAGTGGCAGAAGCGAGGCCCCGACGGCCCTGTTAGGAGCAAGGATCAGCTATTCTGCCCATGAAGATGACTGTGTTGAGGGCGGCTTCCCGGATGAAAAGCAGGAAGGGCCTGTTGGCATTGAAGATTACTCGGTTCATGGGGAAGGAACGGCCGGAGACGGTGACAGCTGTAGCAGCCGATGCCTCGCTGCCTTCTTCATTCACCTACGACCAGAGGAGAAGACGGGATTAAAATAGTTGCCTCCTTCCCCACGGGAGGCAGGTGCCAAGCCCCCACCTCCCCCCAGAGCCCCAAACGGCCGAGGAAGCGAACGCTACGGGCTCAGAGCTGTGTTTGTCTTTTTATGCTTCACGTTTTTCACAGAATCACAGAATGGTTTGGGTTGGAAGGGACCTTAAAGACCATCTAGTTCCAACCCCCCTGCATGGGCAGGGACACCTTCCACTAGACCAGGTTGCTCAAAGCCTCATCCAGCCTGGCCTTGAACACTTCCAGGGATGGGGCATCCACAGCTTCTCTGGGCAACCTGTGCCAGTGCCTCACCACCCTCTCCGTGAAGAACTTCTTCCTGATGTCTAATCTAAACCTCCCTGATTTCAATTTGTACCCGTTACCCCTTGTCCTATCACTACAGGCCCTTGTAAAAAGTCCTCTCCCAGTACCCTTGCAGGCCCCCTTCAGATACTGGAAAGCTGCAATGAGGTCTCCTCGGAGCCTCCTCTTCTCCAGGCTGAACAAGCCCAGTTCTCGCAGCCTTTCGTCATAGGAGAGGTGCTCCAGCCCTCTGATCATCTTCGTGGCCTCCTCTGGACTCGCTCCAAGTGGTCAATATCCTTCTGATATTGGGGGTTCCACAGGTTTTTAGGACCGAAGAGGGAGACGCCGCCTCCTGGGCCAAAGCAAGGCTTACCTCGAGGAAGGCTTTGTGGAAAGCCTCAGATACGTACAGGTCTGTACGGCCCTCGGCAACGATACCTGGCACAGCGAATGGAGAAAGTTAAAACTGCGGGTTTAGGCAACAGCTCAAGAGAGAACACACTTCCATCCTTCGCGGCCTGCGGTCAAGCAGAAGGCACGTCTGCCCTAAACCACAACCGTCCTTCGCCAGCTGCAGTCGCGCGCTTGACTCTCAAGGGATGTGACCGCAGAGCCCACCGCCGGCTGCCGCAGTACCTGACCCCTCCCGTGCCCCGGTGCCTGCAGAGGGATGCTCACCCCGCGCCTCCACCCTGCACCGTCCCGCCCCTGCGTCTGACCTGGGAGCCTGGCATTTTCCGGACTGAAGAGATCTTCCAGCCCCATTTTTCTCAGCTTCTCCTTGACACTGAAGCTGTCCTCGACACGGAAGCGAGGGAGGTAGACGTAGAGAGAGACCTCCGTCATGGAGTCGATCCAGCCCTGCAGCTTCTCCGACGTCAGCTCTCGCTCCACCTCAAGCAGCGGCGTGCCGGCGGTAGGCAGGACCAGCACCATCGTGATGTCGTCTCCTTTGTAGGGCAGCTCCAGCACCTGGACTTTGTCCTGGGGGATGGAGGCGTGGTGGAATTTGGACTCTTGGTACATAATCGGGACTTTGCAGGTCTCGCCGTTCGTTTTATGAAATAAATCCAGCTTTGTGTTTGGGGCTGGGAACTGCGATTTCCAGTGCCCCTGAAGAGGAGATGGGGAGGACAAATGTGAGCATCATGTTTCCCCCGGCAAAACGGGCTGCTCCCCCAGTCCTGTTAGCCATACCTTAAAATAGATGGTGTTGACCAGGACCAGGACAGTGAGATCATCAATACCTCTCGCCGGGATCACTTCTGTAATACGCTTCTCTGTCTTATTAGCCACCCACTCATTAATGATCTCCCTAGAAAGTTCTGGTTTCTCCTGAAGGAACAGACCAAAAAAGAAAGAAGGTTAAGTCAAGGGTTTGAAATGCCTCTTTGTATCCCTTCTGCAGGAAAACAACCCACCACAGGTTCAAACTCACTTTGAAGTTCAAGGGCCAGAGTTTCGCTCCATAAACTATTTCACTGATGTTCTGGTAGGTCTCGTTAAAGACCAGAGATTTCTCCCCGAAGAGGCGGTTGGCCGACACCAGCTCTGAGGATTTGTTGGCTTTCTTGTAAAGCCGGCAGTTCAGCTTGGCAAAGAAGAAGTGGATCTGATCAGACGTCTTCTCCGAAATGGTGTCAAATCGGAAGACCTGGAGGAGCCAAAGAGCGAGCAGGAATCCATGAACAGGTTCCGGTGCTCCCACGGCAAGCGGCGACGCAGCCCTTGCTGCTTGGCAGCCTCAGGCGCGGAGCCAAGAAACCTGGAGCCCAAACCTACGTAGAAGCAACACATCACCAGCCCGAGACCCTGTTTTGGGGTCCAAAATGTAGGATTACACACTGCTCAGCACGCAGAGGTACTGCTCCTCTTCCTAATCCTGGCTCCCTCGCTCTCCATACTCCGCCTTTGGCCAGTCCCGGCTTCTGTCTCTGACCCAAGAGGAGGCTCCAGCTCCTGCTCCCTGACGTTCCTTCCCCAGAGCTGCGGGCAGCCTGCCTGGATCTGCCCTTCTCTGCCTCGGTTCCCCACGCGCCCCCGTCGCCCCCGCTGCCGGGGGGATGCAGCGTTCCCGGTGTGCCTGCCCGGAGGGAGGGCACTGCCTGGCCAGCCCTCTGGGCCGTAGCGCAGAACACACGCGAAGGGTTTTGGGGAGGTTCTTCTCCGTGCGCTCTGACCCTGCTAGGGAGCGGGCTCTAGCTTGGGGTGCGAGCCACCAGGCTTTCCCCCGCGCCGCCGATTTTAAGGTAGTTTACGCGCCGTGTTCACAAACCTCTCGCACCCCAGCGAAAGCCTCAAGGCGAGGGTGGTGCCGAGGGGGCCCGGAAGCAGCTCAACGGGTCAGTGCAGGTCACAGCCCGACTCCAAGTTTGCACTAACCCCTCCTGCCACGATGCCAAAGGCCGCTCCTTCCCAGGAGTGATTCTCGGGGCCTGCTGAGTAATTCTGCCGCGTTACCTATTTTTGCAGGGAACGGGACTGCCGCAGTCGCCCTGAGGGTGGATTTCTGCAGCAGAGTCTCATTTTTTATCAGTTCCTAGCTGCCAGCTGGAAGGACAGTTACCATTTGTCTGCCACTATCCAACCTCACGGCTTTAGGGCATGGAAAATCCTATTTCAGGCTGTTCAACAGGAACATCCAGGATCCCTGGCACCATTCCATACACGCAAGGGGGTGTTGCTGGCTCTTTCGTAGGGAAAAGGGGGGATTAGGAGCACGGCTCTGCCCCCTGGGTGGCTCAGTGGCAGAAGGAAGCCCAGCAGGAGGGGCTCCCCGGAGCGGAAGGCGCGAGTGAAGATTTCGGAGGCGCGGTTCACTGCTCTGCCCTGCCCAGACCACGCGGATGATGGCCAGCGACCCCAGCGTTACAGGCAGGATATGCAAGGACAGGGCAGTGGGGACAAGCGGAGCCGTTTCAGTCACACCTCCTCGCTGCAGGGAGAAAGGCCCCGCTGGGCTGCGGCCTCCCCTCCTCAAGGGAGGTACAGGCAGTACCAAGCGTCACGAGTGCCCTCACAGCTGTCAGGCCAGTGGGTCCGACAGCAGGAAGGGTGCTTGGACAGGCAAAGAGTTAAGGGGTCCCATGGAAGAGCGAGACCCCAGGATTACCTCTGAGTCCAGCTTCCAGAGCTCTCCCCTCGGAGTTTAGGCTGGAGGGAGAGGCTCCGTGCGTCCAGGCTACCGCGGGAAGCTCAGGCCCGCGCTGTGCTGCTGCAGTACGGCCCCCCCCAAGCAGACAGCAGCTGCTCGTCCGTGGCTGAGCGCTCAGACTGCTCCCACGACAAGGATGCCCTCAGGAAGTGAATGACGTCCCTGTGCAGGACAGCAGAGACCTGGAAGCCAGGTGGACTGCAGGGTGTCCCACGTGGCTTATTTTTGTTCCAAGGGAGAGGGAGGTATGTGAAAGAACTCCCAGTGGGACTTGACACCATGGCTTTTCCTGCTTTTTTTGTGTAAGAAAAGGCTCAGCTACATGCTCGCCCAGTCTGTGAGAAGCGAACTGTCCCCATGCCCTTCCCTCGTTTCGGACCCCAGTGACAGGGACAGGAAAAGGCTGAGGAAATGCCACTGACCTCCATGAGCTGCTGGAGGGTGCTCCCACAAGCACCGAGCTTGGTCATGGCAAAGGCTGTAGAAATGCTGAGGGGCGACATGAAAATGTTTTCCCCGTTGTCCTTGGAGTCAGCCAGGTACTTGTAGAAGATGACAGCAAAGCGCGAGTTGGCCTTCGACAGCTCCCAGACCCGGGGGTTAGTAGACTCCGGGAGCTTGCCCTTCCACGGCTCCGGCTCCTCTCCCTCCTGGGGCTTCTTCTCAGGGTTGCGATAGATGCAGACAGGATTCACCGGGATGTCGCGTGGCTTTGCGGTGCAGATGTCTTCCACCACGTACTGCTCAGGGGCAGCCAGGCCCCAGACACCGAAGAGGCACACCACGAAGAGATGCATCGCCCTGGAACCAGAGAGAGCGCTCATACATGTGCCCAGAAAACCCACGCTGCCCCCTCAGCCCGTGGGGCCCCGTTTCAGCCAACGTCAGAGTGACAAGAGCCCCACGGTCCTCACCAACCGTCCTTCAGTCCCGTAGCTGCAGGGCACCCCAGGAGGGCAGACAGACACCACCAGCAGAACGCACAGGCCTGAGCACACACCGTTTTCTGCGACACGCCAAAAACTGCCTTCCTAGAGCCCCGGGCACCCTCTGTTTTTGAGCAGCCAGCTCAGCCCTGACAAGTCTGTACAGAACGGCATGGTTTGAACTCCGAGTCCTCCCCACCGGTCAGCAGAGGTGGCTGCCGTGAAGGACCCTGCCTGTGCCGCATGTCCCCAAGCCCGCCCGCGACAGCAGCCAGCGCAGAGCCACCCAAGCCACCTGCCTGCCCCGACCAGGGGCATTAATGCTTCTGTGCACATCCCACCTTCTTCCTCATGGGGAGGAGCTCTCCGTACCCCCCAAGCTCCACAGAGCAGCTGGCCTTAGACTGAATGCGTTTGACTGTTTCCTTCCCCTTTTCCCTGGGAGAATCTCCTGGTTTTCCTTGTCTCCCTTCGCCTGAGCTCCTCCACTCCCTGTTCAGGCTCACCTCAGCATCAGGCTATTTAAGGTGCTGATGCAGGAAACTCTACAGCGGAGGAGAGGGGCGATAAGGAAGAGGTCTCCACGGAGATTGGTCTCTCCACGCACTGACCATCTTCAGTCCCTAAAAAGTGTGTTTTGTAGGCGTGCAGCTGGCACATCACGGCTATTCCTGTCCAGAGTTTGCAGCCCGTCAATGCAAACTGACTGTCCATGGTAGCTGGAGGGTAGGTTAATGTTAATAACCAAGTTCCAGCAAAAGCAGGTCTCTGAAAATCTCCCCGTAATGCAGAGATAACGTACATTTTCCACCTTTGCTAAAGCAGGGGATGCGCACGCCCCATCAGCTCTGGCAGCAAGGCCTCCGCTGCCATCCCAGGGCCGATCACGTGGCACACAAGATTTCCTGCAGGCTGTGGTTTTGAGATGCCCTTTACATGACTCCGCGTTGGGTTTGTTCACACAGCCCGTGGGAGGAAGCTCACGGACCGCAGCCGCAGCAGCTCGGGAAACAAGTACTGCAGGGGGCTGGCAGCCCGCCCAGGGCTCGCCGGCCGTGGAAGATTCTCAAAGAGTTGTCTAACTCGGGTAGGTCTCTTCCTGCCCCCATGTACCCAGCGCCACAGCTACCAAGCACTGCCTCCTGAGCAACTAAAGATCAGCTGCGTTTGTCACCGGGGACTGTGGCCGACCGCCGTCTAGCCAGCACCGGTGGGCCAACACCTCAGGGAGTGGTTCAAGGGATGACCTGGGATGCTGGAGACCTCCAGGTTCTTTCAAAACCCCCTCCCCAGGCTCTTGGGCAATGACTTCACCTCAGCCCCAGTTCCTCTACAAAACCAGAAATTACCTCATTTGGCACCAAACGGAGCCCTAAGGGGCCCTCTCTAGCACAAGCTAACAGCGCAGCAACAAGGATGGCATGGAAATGCACTAAACAAGGCGCTCTCGCTCAGGCCACAGCCAGTGCTCTTCCTGGCAGCAACAGACTGTCTTCAAAAGGTTTAAGAGAGATGCAACACCACAAAGAGTAAAAAAAAAAGATCTAGAAAGGGAGGGAAGTCAGCCAAGTACAGAAACAGAAAACAACACCCAGGGCAGGAGGGCAAGAGAAAGGAAAACTATTTGGACAATTGAAAGTACTCCAGGAAACGCTGCTCTTCCCACCCTTTCACTCCTACAGGAAAAAAAATCAGCTGGCTACAAGCCAGGCACACTCCTGTGCTCCACAGCCCGAGGGCCAGGAGCAGCCTTCCCTCTCACTGGCTGCGGCAGCCCAGATGTGCCCGCAGCCAGTCCCACCTTCCCTGC